AAACATGAAAACCCGTGTTGTATATTTCTTTTTTTTTTTTTAATTTAGAAAGCTATGAATGAAAATGAAGAAATAAAGCTGAAATGATATACACAAAAATGTTTATACCCATTACCATGGTAACATGCTTAGTTTGAATTTTTAAATCTTGATTGCAAAATTAATGTATATATTTATATATATTTTGTACCAACAATGATTTTACATGTCAAGTCCTGTAGTCTTGATTCTGAGTATCAAAACAATTGAAATTCCTACAGAGAATGACTCTTAACTCTACATAGGTTACATTGGTTGCTACATTGTGCTCCGAATCGTTGCCATGAGAAAATCAAGTGAAAAATAGAATTTTATAAGATGCTACATGCAATTATATTGTAAAATTTGCCTGGACACAATTTTACAGCATGCTTTGAACAATCCTTAACAACAGGTACATGGACATGCTAAAATTATGACTCAGTGATGTGTTGCTAAGGGGAAATCGCTGTTACCATGGAGATCACAAATTGTAAAACATTCCATAGTTTACAGAGAGGTCTCAAAAATTTCAATTTATTGTAAAATTTGTTTTGAGTATTCAAATTTAACAAGTTATGTGATTTATGACTTTAGCATTTTACATTTTTTTCTCGTTTTATTCATCAAAACATCCATTTTTGTTGCTAGGCAACGGATAGGAATGTTTAAAAATTATACGCTTCTGAATTCAAATTCTAAAAGACAAAATCCTCTGCTTTTATGTTATATACACAGGATGTCTGTATGAGGTCCATCACTGGAGTAATTAGGCATTGAATAATTCCAAAATCAAGGAAAATGCTGAGTCAGCAAAAAATGAAAAACATGCATATATTCCCACATCTATCACAGATATATCTTTAAATCTTATTTCTATATTTTTGATTGTGAAAACTGTTAAGATCATTATCTTGAGAATAACAGCCATGAAAAAGAAATTCTTTTAGTATTTACATTTATTTTCAGCCTGAAAGATAAGAGATTTTTTAGTCCATTGAAGCTGAAAATCGGCTGGTTGCTAGGGAAATTTTCTTTACCCATGTTTCCATGGTAACCGTGAATCAAAATTTTTTTCCTTTTGCATACATGGTTTATAGGGTTAAAGAAAACTATGTGTGGAAAATCATCAAATTCTGAGAACCCTCATATATCACCCTTTGCATGATTTTTACACAGAACTGTACTTAATAGCATAGGATTTTTACAGCAATAACCAGCATTTGTGATTTTTTTTCTCGCTTATAAATACCAAATACCTATCTCGCGAAAATACGCGGTGTCGCGAAAAATTTGTGATTTACAGTAGTCAGAATGGTAATAGTGACAAAAGGGGACAAGTACAAGCAAGTAAATAGATCTACTGGCTTTCGGTGAGCACTATATATAGATTAATTATTCTGTTGATCCCCGAACATCCCATCCTCTTTCCCTTGCATTTAATTGGGCAACTTAGCTTTTTTATCTGCCCATTTTTGTCTTATTTAATACTTCTTTCGATCATTTACAATGTTGTATTATACTCAGCTAGGTGACCATTAGGACTTGGGCAATTTTTTAACACTCAGTGCTTAGACAATTGTTTTTCAAGAGTGATATAGAATTTTTCTCTATCCGACCTCCATGCATATGTTTTTTTTTTTTGTTTTGTTTTTTTTAATTAAAGGCCATAAATTTTATAAATTTGTGCAAATAGATTTCACGAATTCTAAGGTACGTTTTGTCTATGCACTATTGAGTGGTTCATATAAGTTGATTACGTCTGATTATGCTTTCTTCAATGAAGTTGCCTGGGTGGGGTGAGGCAGGACCTGTCAGGTCCTTAGTACGCGGCCCCCACCCCACCCCCATTTTCTGAGAGTCGTTTGCTTTAGTTTTAATATCATAATGTAAAATTTTACTTGGATGCCCCCCCCCCCCTCACTCACACACTCTTTTTTGTTGCTGCACGGTCAAACATACCTATATTCATGGCCGAAGGAACGGGGGGGGGGGCATGGGGGCACGTGCCCCCTAATAAATTTGCCGATATATAGATTACCAGAGAAAATATAACTACAACTAGCTTGTGCCCCCTCAATATTTGTTTTTGCTTGTCAAGGAATAGTGTCCCCCCCCAACTGAAAATGTATGGCTGTGCCCCCCCCAAATGAAACTGCTTCAGTCCTATACGGGCCTGTTATATATGGAAAAAAATGTTTGAAAAAAGGACACCCCACCCCCCGAGTTACGATTTAGAGTTTGGTCAGGCTAAGTTTTATTTTTTGCTTGTCACTTTTTTCGGAGGTTCCTCCCATTTCAAAATCCTTGCTACGCCACCTGTGGGGTGAAGAGGTATGACAGTCCCTCAAGACAATGGTGTGCACGTAAACTTATACAGCTATTATTTACATTGAATATATTATACAATTATTCAATTTTTTTACTTTCATTGGTCATGCTGCCTGGCCATTTCCACAATGTCAAGTTTTTGTGAAGGACCCAGTTTCACATTATCGTGCCTTTATAATATTATAAACCTATTTGCGAAAAAAAAAATGCAAACTTGTGCGATATTTGTAAAATATCGTGCACTGAACTTGCTGGTTTATTTTATCGACATCTCTTTTTTATCAAATGTTGGCTCAAGTACACTGTAAAAATTGTGTTTAGGAAATAAACACTTCTATTACATGTTTAGATCTAAACGTGTATAGTATTGTGTTTAACAACTAAACACTTATGTCTTAACATGTTTTACATCTAAACGCGTTTAGAAATTAAACACGTTTTACTGTAAAGTGCAGAGTTATCTTCCCGGAAATGACACACATATATTTGAACGTTAATTTGAGCGGCTATGTAAACAAAGAAAACGCAACAAGCTAAGGTGATGTATCAATGAGAGTTGTGACAACCCAATTCAAGGGATAACTATGACGAAATAGTGAAATACGTGGAAGGGCATGTTGTTGCTGCAATGCATTAAAGGTTTGTTTTGTTCTTCTTTGCATTAATTAACCACGATGAGCAACGTAAATAAAGTTGACTTGGGATATCTTGAATTCGTTCATAGACTTGCAGGAGAAGAAATAATATTAACTGTCATTAAAATCATCTATATTTATATCTGTGTAGTTTCACTAAAATTTGAACAATTTTGTTTTTCTAAGTAATGTAAAATATCAGTGATAGTGTACTTTTTCTAAAATCTGGCTTTCTTTCCTACAGGCACCGTACGTAGTCCAGATCGAACTCAAAATACACGTATCAGAGTACCTGGTGTCAGCTTCAAGTGGAATGTTGTTGTTCCATAATCAACACTTTGAAACTTCATTTGTTGAAGACTACTGTGTTAATTCGACAGTGTTTACAATTATCCTCGTGCATTCGAAATGGGTTACTTTCTGGCAGTTATTGATTGGATATAGATTATAATATGTGGTGCTTTGGGACTTGCTGAAAGTTCATAAAATTTGATATTTTGTGATTGACATGAGGAAAACTCTGCAGCCGATTCAAAATATAATGATTATAATATATATATATATATATATATATATATAATTATATATATACATTTTGTATTTTTAGTTTAACAATTCTTTAATAAAGCCTTTTAGAAATATTCAATGAAGTTTTGATATTAAATTGTCAGCTTAATATTATTGTCTTAATAATTTTGAAGATTAAAAGTTTATCTATGTGTACGTTATAAATTATGTGTCATTTTGATTGAATTGTTGAGACTAATCAAATCTATTCAGTTCTATCTCCTACATTATTTGTGTAAATTAAGTACATGTACATCGCACAGTGACCATTGCATTGTATAATTAAATACATATCCCAACGTTCAGTGCCTTAATGGAAAATAATTAATATTGGTTATTTTGACAATTATGCACATTTAAACAACATATACTTTTTGTGCCTAAGTTTACGAGAGTGTTTTTTTTTCTGCAGGTACAAATTAAACTTATGATGTGTTTAGATTTTAAACACATCTGCTGTTATGTGTTTAGAATTTAAACACTTGTGATTATGTGTTTAGATATGTTTAATTTCTAAGCACACAAGTGTTTAAATTCTAAACACTTTCTAAGACATGTTTAGGAATTTTACATGTTTAGAAATTAAACATATAAAAAAGGAGGTGACAAGAAAGTGTTTAGAAAAGTGTTTGAATTGTAAACACATTTTTTACAGTGTAGGCCTTAATTAAGTTATGGGACAAGAGGTGTCTGATGGCGGATTTTTTGTGTATATTCACCCCCCCCCCCATTTTGCCACCTTAAAATATTCAGTAAAATTTGTTTCCGTCGCAGCCATGCATCTATCCAAGCAAAGTCTATAGGCCATTCATACAAAATCGATTAAAGTGACCCATGGTGTTTTAGATACACCAGTTCGGGTCAAGTTCCTTACGTAATACCAGGACGTAAAAATTTACATATTGGTAATACCGAGACCCCTTGTAACACGTGTCACAAGACCCCAAACGTTAATCGTACGCGGAGTTTGGATGCTGCATGATGTGAGAAGTTACGAAAACGAAGGAGCCGTATCTTGCAGTATAGAGGTTTGAAATAATGTTTCATTTATTCTGCAAATTATTTGTTTGAAAGCATAAATTGCACACTCTGATATACGTCAAATAGGTCGTCATATGTGTAGTGTGCGAGGTCGGGTTCATGAAGCAACGAAGGCCGCGAGGGCAGGCCATGCAGTTTCATGAGGTTGTAAGCCAGCTGCATTCGGACATCGATAAAAATTCATAAAACCAGTTAATTTTTTGTGACTGGCCGTGTTAACTTGATATTAAATATGCAACACTAAACTTGCTGGTAGGATATTGATGATGATATCGTAGTTGACGTGCAAGGTATGATCAACCACATGCTTGATTTCTTCGCGGGATTTTCGTCGAGAACATCCGAAGTGACATCCAATCGAATCACTTCGTTACTTTCCGGGCTGTGTTGGTAAAGTAGTCGGCCATTGCTCGAGAGTGGAGATTGTGTGGAAAGGGGTATATCTAGATATCTACATCTAGATGAGAGCCGCATGTAACACTGTACGTATGTAAAGCTACCAGGTTTTATTGCACAGTCAATTTGGTTGAAAAAGAAACCGCATTCGATTGTAAACGAGGGGGTAGTGAAACTTGCTGGCCGATGGAGATTGACCGAAACGTTTGTTTGTAAATATTCGTTCGAACATATCATAGGGGTTGTTTGTGTATTTAATCTATGCCTACAGGAAAGGTCGTAGGTTTTGAGAAAACCAAAAAAAGGAAAAGTTAAGTGTGTTTACATGTTGTTTACCTATAAGGTAATAATCACACACTTGTGGGAGATTGCTGATAGTGAGACAAGTCCCACAGAGAAAATATGTCCCACACGTGTAGCTGGTAATGTAAAGGTCTGGTACAATCACTAGATTTAGCTACCTGGCTTGAAATACCTACATAGCTTTATTTACCTACCTGAAATAGCTTTATTTATTTATTTTGCTACTTAATCAGTTAATCATGCTTATTTCTTGAATTGGCATTTTTTTAGGATGTACAGAAAATCGCAATTTGATGCAGTAAAAATTTTCAACTTTGAACTGACCTTAAAACAATACGTGAAAGATGTGTCTCTTTCAGAGCAATTTCTTTTTCTTTTGTGATAATCCAAAACAGTCTCATATTTTGTATAGGGCCTAAAAACAAATTGTTTGTTTCGGGTAACACTGATGAAAAAATTAGGGTAGGTAGGTAGGGAATTTTTTTTTTTTTTTTTTTTTTTGATTTTTTTTAATGAAATGACCACTGAAACAGAGATAGAAAATCATGAGAATATTATTCTGTATTTTATTTCACTCCGATGATTGAAAAACATCAGACAACAAAATTTTACAGTTTCATATTTTAATTTTTCATTTTCTCTTCATTTCAGCAAATACGAGTGGTTAAGTTTCTAAAATGTGTTCGACCCTTGTGTTTCGACCTGAGTGGTTTCGTTCTGAATCCAAAAGATAACAGTCAATGGATAATTTAAAATTCTTTTATTAAATTTCTCTTCCAGACTTGTCGAAATCCGTCGGTCCTGTCGGCAAGGCCGGTAAAAAAATGTCTGGACTGATAACTTTCAAGAAAATGTCAGTCCAAATGACCGTTTGAAAAAATCGAACGTGACGCAAATTTAAAAAAGGTCGGGATCGTGATGCCCAACTGAAGGTCACAAACACAGACGAGATGGCAGTGTGCACGGCGTAGTGACGATGGTCAATTTAAATTATTACAGGGAAGACATAAAATATGTTATTTATGTCTCTTATCAAAGACTTTCTATCCCAAGAAAAGAAACTTGCGAGATTGAAGGCTGTTGAAAATATTAAAGGGCATTTTGGTGCTGTTATTTATTTTCCTTTCTCAGCGTCAAAATAAGGTACATGTATCTGGTCTGACAAAACTTCGTCCGGTCCGACAGAACATTTGACTTTGTCAGACCAAATGTCTGACAGTGATTTCAAAATTTCGACAAGTCTGCTCTTCTGCAAGGGAAAACTTTCATTTTAACACAAATCACATATTCTTAAATCAGTGTTTGAAATAACCGTGCGCCCGACTGCCTGAGACACACAAATTTTGCAGCAGGCCAACAAATTTGCATGTATTGACGCCCGCCTGGGCGTGTTAAATTAAAATTTCGATAATTAAAATTCATATATTTGATAAATCTCTTTCATATCAGGCCTAAAAAAAATTTGTTTGTTTCCTGTAACATTCCCAAAAAATCAAGGGTCGATAGGTCGGGAATTTTTTTTTTCTTATGGATAATAGGGTCAAACATCCCCAGACTGAATTAACCAGGTGTTATATATAAAGTGGACAACCAACATGGCTGCCTAGTGGCAGAAAACGAAATTCAAAAAGTTGTGGGTGGAAATTGTTGTTACAATTATGATTACTCTTTATATTCAAGGTAAATGTTGACTAGGATGACATATTTTATATCTCAAATAAAGTTACAATTAATATTTTTTTAATAAATGGAATCAGCTGATTGATCAAACCAAAGAGCAAATGCAGATTTGGCAGAAGAAAAATCCGCCCAGGGGTAATTTGAATGGGTCGGTTGGGTTACAGGAAACAAACTTATTTTTTTAGGCCTCAACTAACAGTTTCAGCAGCAAAGTGTAAAAAACCAAGAGGAAGAATTCATCAGTCTTTAGATTCTAGTTTGAATCAGGGGTTTGAGTTGCATAATCGTTAATAAAAAACAAATTTATAAAAGACAATTATTTCCTCGGAATACTCATACTAAGTAGATCTGTCATAGGCATCGGAACCCGGGGGGCTTAACCCACCCCCCCCCCCACTTTTTTTGCAAAGATAGACATAATATTGGCATTGAAAATTGGGGCTTACCTTTTTTCGCTGGTTTAGCCCCCCCCCCCCCCCCCACTTTCAATTTGCTTCCGACGCCTATGTCTTTGGCAGACATGCATTTG